AAAATCATATAAAGATCAAGCAAAAACACATAAAATCACTGAACATTTACAAACTGTAAACACCAGAATGTACAACACTGACGAAACTGACTCAGAGGACTCTGATGGTGATGATCTCGTTGACAGCCTAGTGCAGAGGAAATAGAGACTGATGACTTAATAGTTCATTAAACTGTAGTGACGAGGTCAGGGAGAAGAGCTGGAACCTGGAAGCATGCAACGATTCATTAATGTAAATCTTTATTGTTTAAAAAAAATTTCATGGGGGCGCCTACCATATTTTGTTTTTTTCTAAGAGGGGACAGTCCAATTTTTAATATACACCTAGGGGGGGACTTGTGATTATTTAACAATAACATGTGAAATTCACCGGCGCCTCCTCGGTCAAATTAACTGGTGATTCCCTAAAAGACATTGGGTAGCTAAACCAATCAAGGAAAAGAAAGCATATCAACACATTTCTGAGATGATACTAGCAGTCTGTAACACGGAGGGAGAGAGTGGAATTACTGGCAATGACTTCGACTAGCCAGATATACCTTCTAATATCGCATCTGTTCCTAAACATTGTATAGAAGACATAGTGTGTGTTCATTTTACAACGTTTGCTTGAAAAAACAAACATTGTATTAGTTATGCGTACATGTTTGGCAACAGCGCATGCTAGGGTCTCTGATTCAAAATGGTTGCGTAGAAGACGGTGTGCATTTTGCTCTGGCGTTTCGATTTTCATAGGATTTCATCTGTTTTATTTCGAACAAATATAATACAAGTTGATCGATATTTCTACCGATATCGTGCTTGAATTGTGTGAAGCGGGACAAAATATAATTTCGAAAATCGTGTTATTTCCTACCTTGTGTTACTATATGAAAGGTCTTCGAACGTATCGGCGATTGACTAAGCATTTTGACCTTATTTCAGATCCTTTTTATTATCCCAGAAACGTTGCGAGCGCCTGTGACAACAACCAACATAATTCAAAATACATAAACGATAGTATAATGATATGCAGCCTATAGGTGGTATGTAGTTTGTAAACACACCTACATTTCAAGGACGAATGGTCTGCCAATCAGAGATATGTCAGAGACATGTTATAATTCATCGCGGAGGGATTTTATAATCCACAAGGGTCAAAGTAGCTTGATAATCAATCATAATCTAACCATGCCCCCATTTTGAAATTAAATATCGTAAAAAGTTCTCGAATATTCTTTACGCAATGCAATAAGGGTAGTTCATGTGTGCGTTTTCCTATCAGAATATTTGGTCGCTGTTCTCATACGCAAGATCTCCTCTCTTAAGAATAATCTTACGCATAATTTAAAAAAAATATGAATATTCATAATCTAAACCGAACTCTCGAATGAAACTAGCCACAAAAAATGGTCGATATCAAGTACCAGATAGCTCAAAGAGCAGTGTGTCTGTTTGACTTACAAACAGTCTCTTGTTTGTTTTTGGTGTGAGTATATCAATCGAGAAAGCCTGGTTACCGCGAATTATCGTGTTTCTCACATATTAGGTCCATGTAAGAAAAAAATAATGTTATGATGTTAGTTGATTTTTGATAAAATTGTCTTCATCAGCTGAGGTGCTGCAATTTTCAATTTTAAAAGGTCTTTTTAGCGAGGGCCCAAGAGTACAACAGATATGGGCAACGATAAGAAGGCACGATAAAACGCAAAGGCTCATGGTAGACGATTGTTTGTAAACAACGACATGGTATGGCCGTCTGACGCATGCGCAGATGATGAATCCCTTACTTGAGTATATGTATATGTATGTATATGTATGTAATGATTTGGGATGTTACCTATTTAATTTTTAAAAAAGCATCCAAAATTCTCGCGGAAGACTGTACACATTAAAGTATTTGCGTAAATGTCATGAATTTGTTTTTATGTATCTGTTAACCGACTTAATTAGTTGATTATTAGCGAATTGCTGTGTTATGTCTGTCATCGTTTAGGCCTATTTGAAGTTTTGGACGGAACTTAGCTCAGTGATTTGGAACTAATTACGAGATAACCATCGCTATTCTGACTACTCATTCTGACAGTTGGTATTCATAGTTATTAATGTAGTGAACGATTAATCAAAAGATATGACGTATTCAGTACTTAGTGTGATTGGCTTTATGATTGAAAGTTACGCTCTAGAGTCTTTTTTCTGTTTTGTAATTGGTTAGAGTTTTGAAAATGAATAAAGAGAGTGTGAGTTGGTCTTGGGGAGCACAGCACGATGGACGCAGTCGAGAGTGCAGTCCTGGAGAGCCTTGGGTCAGCCTTGCGATAGTCTTGGGGATTTTCCCCCCAGGGCGCTGTGTCTTATAGAGTGCTCGATTGACCGACTAAGACGAGAGCTGAAACGTATTTCGTTGTGTGTATCTTATTTGACTGTGACTTTCCCAATCCCGCACCTCAAGGGGACGAGATATAGAGACGAGACGAGTTTCCACCTGACAAGTGAGGAGAACCCAGAGAGAGAAGAATTTACCCCCCGATATAAACATCATTCTGAACTGTTCTACAAAGATGGACTAACATCGTTGTTGTAACCATGGTGAAGTTGTTAATTTTATAGCGTGGGTGAGTATAGAAAAGAATTAGTAGGAACCTGGGTCACTTTCTTCCCTACAACAACTTTTGACCCGCCCACGATGTTTTGTTATACACATTGTATGCGTTTTTAAAAGTATAATCTTGGTAAAAATTGCATAGATATGCGGCTTCACCTATAAATAATGATTTAACTAATTCTTACAATTTGCTATTTTTTTTGATAGTTATAATCATAGACCCTCTAACAGTTAGAGGGTCTATGTTATAATTATATATATTTTATATTTATTTTGTTATATATAAATATGCTACATTCCATGCTAGGCTTATAAAATATATATATATTAAATTGTATTACAAACAGTGGAGAAGTGAATTACCAATTATTATTTATTTTTATATTTCTATTTTATTAAGCTAAAAGACAACAGGCAAAAAGGCGATTACAGGTTTGTACAATAAAATAGTTCACAAATAAAACATCTATCTAATATAAGTGACTACATTGTTTTCAAAACTTTTAAAATTTATAAAAATATCAATTTTTTGACAAATAAAATAAGAAAGTACATGTAAAGGAATTTCCGATAAAATGTAAGAGCAATCGCAATAATAATGAAGGGATTTGTGTAAAAACGTAAGTTGAAATGTTTGCAGAGTGATGCGCGGTCTTTTGAGGAGTATACTAGTAATATATGTGCCATTTTACATAAAAAATGATTAATTTCTTTTGAACTCGTTTAATTTTAACAAGAAATGTTTGTTAAGGACCGTATCTGAGAATAGTACTCAAGGTTGCCCCTCACTAACGTTGTGTATAATTTTTTAATAAGTTCCATATCTATCAAAAGATTTTCAAGTTCGCTTTAGAAAACCAAACATTTTAAAAGCTTTGCTTACACAAATGTTTATATAATCCCTAACTGAATGTTTCTCGTTATCGTGACTCTACTAACAACCTTTACGTTCCTTTTGCCACCCTGAACACCAACCAACGACACGATGAAGATCTTTCTGAAGCTTAAGACAATCAGAACGACGTTTTATACAAGTGTACAGCCCCGAATCATCAGCAAAAACGGAGGCATTAGAATGCCTAACGCAGCTTGGAAGGTCATTGACATACACTATGAACAATAATGGCCTCAACAATGACCCTTGAGGGACCCCAGAAGTATCTTCGAATTCGCACCAGTCGGAGACATGACCATTCAAAACTATTCCCTGGCGCCTTTCATGCAAATGTGATTGAAGCCACATAATAAATTACCACAAATTCCAATTTGCAAATAAATACCAGAATGGCAATATCACTGAATATACGTATTCCACTATGTTCATTATTTTTAATTAACGGAACTTGCAAAATCACAAGACTATTAGTGAATAACAGAACGCAATATATATTTTCTAGTATTATTAGCCCCCACCCCCCACCCCCACCCGGACCAAGTCCGGGTGGGGGCTTGTAGTTTTGCCTTCTTCAATCCGTTCGGAGTGATTTCTCGGAGATGGCTGGACCGATTTTTTAAAAACTTTGTACAAAGACATAGTGGTCAACCATACATGGGCACGTCAATTTATTTTCCGATTCGATCACATATAGCCAACTGGCGGCCATTTAAATGCCAAAATTCAGTCAAATTCGGTTCAAATTGTGTGTCCATCGTCATTTCTCCGAGATGGCTTGACCGATTTTGTTGAGACAAAGGATCCACCCATACAGATGCACGTTGTTTTCATTTATTGAAATGATCAAATATGGCCGTCTGGCAGCCATTTTTTTTTGTTAATCATGGCTTTTGTCTGTCCATTGCTATTTCTCAGATATGCCTTGACTGATTTCAATGATACTAGGTAAAAAGATCCAGTGAGGAGGTATACATATTCACATGGATTTTTTTCTTTATTTGACCAAATATGGCTGCATGGCGGCCATTTTGAATGTCAAAATCCTGTAAAATTAGGGCGTGTCCATCATCATTTCTCGGAGATGCCTGGACCGATTTTGCTGGGACTTGGTACAAAGACAAGTGACCACTGGCACAGATGCACATTGATTTACTTTTTCAAGAATCAATTAATGAACTCATTTACATATTTTATTATTAATTTGAATTCTTGTTAATATTTTGTTAACTAATAGACCCACTCAGACCAAACTTGGTAGAAACTTGATTCGTCAATATAAGATATATGCTATGCAATATTGATTTTCAACTTAATTAATAAGTTAACTTGAATATTTAATTAATTTAGAATTTTTGTTAATATCTAGTGAACTAATAGTTCATGTATTTGCTATTTAATATTGACTCAGTTGAATTTCCATATTCAGCTGATTGTGAATTTTTTTTAAGATGTCCTAGCTGTTAACTCTGAGTAACATACTTTTGATTTTCAACTTAATCTTCCTACCCGATTTTATACATATACATTCAAACTTTATAATTCATAGTGAACTATAATCACATCTGACAAGTGGGGCTGTGTCATCTTCAGATAACTTGTTTGCAGATAACTTTATCATGATTTTTAACAATGTAAATATGATGTGTTACATGTTCAAAACAATTTTGAGTATGTTTTGCGCTTGAATTGTGAATAAATATTTAAACCCTATTTTGTCAATATTGCTTTTAATCGTACGGTCTTATTTATTTAATTTTAATAATTAGCACTTTTTATAATGCTAATTTATAACTAAACTATACCAATTTTTCCAGGTGTACATAAACATATTTTACTGAAATACGCGACATGATTTAACTCAAATTCAAGCATCATATCCGCCATCATTAGTGTGGTTCTCATTGCCCCGCAAAACAGGGTAGAACACACACAGTGCGATGCAGTCTTCATGAATGTTAACTATGTGTTTATCGTGTTCATTCATGTTGTAGACGGTACCATTATCTGGTGTGATACGAGCTTCTATTTTCTTTGCCCCCTCGTCCCAAGAATACGAGACTTTCCCACTGATATAGTAGGCAGACTCAGCATGGTTACGATACGTCAGCTTAGGTGGATCGTCTCCAGTGCACATCACGGTTGTGCTTGTTATTGTGATGGCAAATCCGTCAACTTTCAGCAAAAAACGTCGACTGTGACCACGTTTGAAATCCATGTCTCTCTCTGTGCCCACGATTTCGTCAAGTGATCTTACTACAGAGCGTTCGCTAGATGGGTCAATATCTTCACAATACAAGACATACAGCCGGAGTCGTGTCTCAACAATCAGTTCGGCCGAAACGCTAGAAGAGAAGGCAACAACACTATCTGGTTTCAGCTTATAAGAACGTCCGTTGGAGGCCTTTACATCGCCAGTACCAGAGATACAGTAGTATATATGGTCTAAATCGCCGCTGTCAGATGATCTCAGTTTTAAGGTCTCTCCTTCTTCAGCAACAACTTGGTATGCGCTGAATCCCATACCGTCTTCTACATCGGTCAGTAACTTCCCTTTCATCTCGATGTTCGGGAGGGTTGCTACAGCAACGTCTTCTGAGTGACGCACAATCATGTTCACGTTTTGGCTCAACTGTAATAATCCGCTATATATTGATAAGTAGAAAAAATAATTCTTAGTAGTATTCTTAGTTAGTATTAGTTGTCATAAGTTAATATTTTAATGACTAATGAAAATATTAGCTATATGAAACAGTGTTAGTTGCCAATATGCAAGTAAACAAGTCATGTACACAATGTTTGCAGTCATGCGTACGGTTAGGATATTTCACGCACAATCATTTGGAAAATGACCACTGGATGAACAGTTATCACCATCTAGGATAAGTTCAACTATAACAGTTTTGAAATACATTATTTTGACAGTCTTTGTATAGTAATACTGGGTAACGTCATATTTGACGAACTTCTTAAATTCGCGGTTCTAAGGTGACATCATGACCAGAAACTAATTTCACGTTGCAATAACTAGTAGGATTGTTGAACCCTGGTCGAGGGACGAAAATTTCCGACAGGAAATGCTACAAATTATGAGATTTCTGTTCATTTGCCAATCCACAGACAGTAATAGAAAATGTATACAGAATTATTATATGAATGAATGACTGACTGACTGACTGACTGAAATTCGAGTTTATTGCACGTTTTTGTTGTTCTGTTGTTGTTCTATTCATTGCAAAAGATTCTTGACTGAAATACTAAATGCTTTACTGCCTCCTAGGCAAACCATTGTAAAAAATGTGAAAGTTTTCAATAGTAATTGCACGAGCAAAGCACAAAACGCTACTTGTACAAATTGTGCATATTTCGTATCATGATTTCATTAAAATACTAATAATCGGCAATACTTGTGCAGATTAGCTTTACAGTGGATTTGCCGTGGTTTTCCAGCGTTAACCAACGTTATGGATATTTAGAACGCGTTCAAATATTTGCATGTGAAATGTATCTGGGCGTAAACAAAAATGCACCTAATGTCTTGGAGGAACGTGGGCGTTACCCAATTTATTTGTTAGCCGCAAAGAAATGTATTAAATATTGGGCCAAACTGATTATTATGCCAAGTCATCGTTTCCCAAATAAATGCTACAAAATGCTTTATAATATTGAACTTTCGGCTGTACGTTTAAAACATACCTGGGTTAACGAGGTAAACGAATTGTTATACTTACGTAATTTACATGAGTCTTGGGAAACTCAACAAGTCTGTAACCCTGAAGATTTTGTTAAGTTATTCACTTCATGTTTTAAGGAAGTATTGCTTTCCAAATGGTATTACGAAATCTCATCACTTAATAAATTGGTTACGTATCAGAGTTTCAAAACCAGCCTAGAACCCGAATAATATATGGCACTTGTAAATAGTCATTCTCATAGAGTAATGTTAACGTTGTCACGTTTACGCTGCTTCTGTCACAATTTACGTATTGAAACTGACAGAAAAAAATAATATTGAAAGACATGAACGGCTTTGCATCTTGTGTGATTGAAATGAAATTGAAGACGAGTACCAATCAGTTCTTTTCTGTCCTTTTTTCGAGACCTTCGGATTTAAGTATTTACCACATTATTACTTTTTGTCTCCGTCAGTGCAAAAATTTGTCCAATTAATGAGCTCTGTAAATGCAACTCTACTCAAACGATTGTTAGCTTTTTTATTTCATTCTTTAAGACTAAGATGCAATGAAAATAATGTAAATAGTAATTGAACAACTTTAGATTTTTATTTATTTATTTATTTATTTATTTATTTATTTATTTATTTATTATGTATGTATTTTGGGCCACTGGTTTATAGTACAAATAAAGACCTACATATAATATGTGGTATGATGTATTCACGAATTGTTTTGCTTTTCTTGAAAATTTTCCTATGCGAGTTTTACCTAATGATCTGCGGATTGGTATGTTATTTCCGCTTTCATGGGCCATGAGTATAACAGCACTCGACGTAGTGCACCACTTATTTGTTCAATGGTGCATTCGATGATGTGCCGTATTTCTGTGTTCAGTGTTTACCAACAGTAATAGCGGGATGTGGCATACCATTTAATACGAAATAAAGACGGATCCAGGTACTATTTTTGGTCACGCTATATTTCGTTTTTACGAACATTAATAAGCCTACATATGTGCAATAAATTATATGTCAAATTCTTCATAAAAGTAATGTATATACCAATACCAATTATTTTTATTTCATGCAAATTGTTTACACATGTATTTCATAAACAAACAGTACATTATGTATGATGAATAGTACATATTATGTATATAATATATTCAATGTAAATATATATTTAATATTTGCAAATAATGTAATATACAAAATATTGAGCATGACAAAAATTATTTTATTAATAAATACCTGACTTGTATCATACAAAAACAATGCGTGTTGTCGTTTTTGAAAGTGTTATTATTTATTATTTATTGTTATTTAATTTATTGTATGTGCATAATGATGTCAAACCCTATTTTAATAGCAATTATTCAAGAATTGCCAGTAAGGTAACTCACCGCTCGTTGCCGCCCAGTCTTTAGTTGATTCTCGTCTACGGTGAGACTGTGACTCTTGATAGACTGTGTAATGGCGTGTCACGTGCTACCAATTAGCCTATCAGCCTTCAAATCTTATGGTTGTTTTGTTCACCCAGTTTTATCTGAAAAGCGATGTATGGGAGCGTACTTTAATTACGTCAGCTGTTAGACTGGTGTGTGTAGCTCTGACAAGTACGTGTGGATCTGGACAACTCTCCATGAGACACTTCAAACTGGCTGCATTTCTAAACATAGCTGGCCAACATGTTTTTACTGGCCAGAATTCTATAACAAAATATTCTGTAACATATGGTTTCAACAAATTAAAACATTATTTTGATTTTTGTAACCTATTTTTGGAGAACTTCACTCAGTTCTGATCAGTAGTATGAGACCTGTTATGTTTCGCCGTCTGCGAAGAGCGCCGCCTGTGACGACATCGTGGTAACTCATTTTTTTCACCATAGTCGGCGCATTTCTTGCTGCATAGTAGGGGCTAAAATAAAAAAAAATCGCGGATCCGTCGGGATATATTTCTTGACATGTGTCAGTCTATACTTTCCACCATCTCCGTCATTATAGGAGTTTTCGAGTCATGAGTGGCGTGGTTTTGTTTTGGGGGTGTTGTTATGAAACGCTTGAAATTGGAAACTAGGGAATCTGAATGTTTTGATTGCCCGATAAAGATAATCAATGAATAGTTTGGTTATTTTCCAGAAACACTTTTTTTTGAATTCAGAGAAGTACGCCAAAACACATGAACATTTGTTTGTATAGGTAAGTAGTTTCTCCTCTGGATTCGTTTACACAATGAGATCATTGGCGACATATTTCTATATCCCCGGGCCGTGGGCGGACGATATTCCGTCCACACATATAAATTATCCGTTAACTGTTATCGTATTATCGGTTACACCGTGACGTCGTGTTCATGGTACTATAATTTTATATATGATACATTTAAATATGGCGGTCGCAGACACGGGGGGTGAGATAGGTCACCAGTTGTAAAATTCATTTACATTGCAGTGACAGCACATAGCATTGTGCTAAAATGCAGGGTTATAGATAGCTTAGATGCACTTGACAATGGAATTGAATCAATGTTTGGCGAACTGCACCACCCAGAAATATAGCATGCATAGTCGATGTTGTGTGGATGATATTTGTGACTACATTCCAGTTATTGACATGTTTTAAGGAATACTAAATTGTCTGGTTAACAATATTGTTATGCAACTTCAAGATTGCACTCTGGAAATAAAAATGGACGAGAATTTGAAATCAAAGAAAGCTGAAACAGAACTCCCGTGTCCCGAGGGTATTGGGGGCATGAATTACAAATAAGTATTTTCTCTATCGCATTTGTTGCATTTACCGATCTGCAACAGTACTTATCATATTACAGTTACGCAGAATATTAAGGTCACATGACCATATATGGTCATCTGATACTTAGTATATTAGTTACATCTCTTGTCAAATTCCACCACCATAGTACTAGTTGCAAGTCCTTATCTGCAACAGTGCTTGAGATATTACAGTTATGAATAATATTTGTAAGGTCACAAGAATCCATTTAAGTAGGTAATTAATATCCATGTATATTTGAACTCTGGAATAATCAGATATGATACGTGGTTGATTAAAACAGATTGCAACAAGAAATTTATT